CCTTGTGCGGTACTACTGGTAACAAAATTATAACCAGAGGAATCAAATAATTAGAACATATCAGAAACTCCATCGGTGCAGTTGGAGAAACTCAGCATGAAGCAGACCTAAGTTGAAGTTTGATTTCCTTGAAATTCTTTCAGTAGCATATTGAAAGGTGTTCGTCATCCGCCACTCTTCACACTCAACAAATGTCGTCATTGGTTCCCGCCACTTTCTCTAAGCAGAAGGTCGATGCACTGCCCAGATCCTGTGAGCATAATCGACTGGCGCTCCAGTCGTTTGGGAGGCAAACGCTCCCAGATTCCTCACACAGGATGCAAACCTGGGCCGATCTCGGAAACTGTCCAGCTGTGCAGACAGCCCAGCTGTCATGACGTCTCACATGACATCATTGGTTTGCGCTCACTGCAATATTTGCATTGCACTTGCGAAGAGACATAAAGAGACCATGTGCTTACAGCACATGTCATCTCAATCTCGAATTCTCGCACTCCTCTCTTTGTTCATGGAGTATCGCGATTCACTTTTCACTGGTACGCAAGTGCCCAAAGCAAAGCACTCGAGTAGACCAGCAGCTAAACATGCGGGAGGGCGTGGGCTGCTCGTGAAAATTCATCTTTAAAGAGAACATTATCCTTCACTGCCACCGGTTGCGTTATGGCTCAACAGTTCTCAAAATCACCAAATATCACAAGAGTTTTTCAGCAAGATAAGGGGCTTGACACCCACAGCCGTCGAACTACTGCATTCAGTATATACTACATGGCTGTCACTGTTTTGGCAAGCAGCATGGCTGATGTTACCGGAATCATTGACGCTTGCAAGGCAACTCAAGGATCCAAGATTGACGTCGAAGGTTCTCTGCTGTCATTGGCAGCTATCTTCGGGACATGGTAGAGTTTGCGGTTCCCTGCAAAGACACAGAAATTGCATACTTCATCATACTTCATCTTCTTCAACATATTCAGACTTGTGATTGAAACAGCTTGAAACCATTCAGTCATTACCTCGACTTTTTGGTCTCTTGGTTTTTATCCTTGTACATCTTGCTGTGCTCACTACCTCCACGCACCTGCTCAAAAAATCAGAAAAATGATCCGACTCCAACTGTGTTTTCTTTTTTGGGCGTTTGGATTTTGGGATGTTTTCGTTCAAGCCAGCAATAGCAAGATTAGCAAGGATTTCTGTTTTTCATGTCTTTCCCTAGTGGACATCATCAGTTTGGCAAGTGCTTGGCAGTGAATTTCTGGCCACTTTGGCCACTGTGCCGCATCTACAAACGCTGCGCGTTCGGTTCGTCTGCTGTACATCATAGCTAATCACCCGTGTTGTTTTTGTGTGTTGCAATTGATGGAGCCATCGTCTTCCAGCCGCGCCATTATTGCAGCAGGAAAAAGGCTCACTAAAATCCACGGCCGTGGAAACTTGCACTGTATCGTACGGCTGGGAAATGCCTTGCCGAACGAAAGGCAAACCTTTCAACCTCACCATTAAAAAACGTTCTTGGATAAGTGCCCCACTTTGTGGAAGATCAAATTTATCATTATGGGTGGAACATCTTCACTGAATCCAGCATCCATCCTGATTCCAAGTACTACCACATCCAGGAAATTCGCCATCAACTGTTCTTACGATATCATAACCTCCCCCAAACATGTGTTTTCTAACCGGATGCCTGTGTTTTTCCAACGATCTTGCGCAGCCCTGGTCCATTTCATTCGGCAAGGCATTCGAAGGCAGGTTTAGAATGCTTCCCAGCAGTTATTGACCACTGGACAAGTATGTCTTTCGCCTTTTGAAAAATGATCCAACCATCGAACTGTTCTCACCTGTGGTGTAAATGGCCCCCGCAGGCCAAAACCTAAGCGACAACTTATCCAGTCCAGAGCTCATCCATGAGCTGATCACCGGATCGGCCCGTTCAGTGGGGACCAAGTTGGAATGTGCTTTTTCCCTTTGCAACGAGTTTTTAAATATCTAGATTATCTAGATATAAAATGATACAAGTACAAATATGTGAGTTCATCAACTTACGCCAACCCTCACCAACCCGTTTCCAGAGATCAGAATTTCATGGATGAAAGGTCCGGTGCTCCCTTGAAATCGAGCAGCGATATAAGTCAGGTATTCCGGGCTGAAACACAACCCAAAAAGCGTAGGAACCTGGAGCCTGTTGCGGAGAAGCTCTCCTGCAGCAAGCAATGTGTATGTCTGTGTGTGTCTGTGTGTGTATGTGTGTGTGTGTCTGTGTGTGTGTGTCTGTGTGTGTGTGTGCGTGTGTCTGTGTGTGTGTGACACTTCTGTGTCTGTGTGTGTGTCTGTGCGTGCGTGAAGCCCGCTACTTGTGATGCGGGCAAGCATTACTAAATCAAAAAAGATGACTAATTTGACACATTCAGCAGGGGCGTGCAGCACCTTTGGCATACTGCACGCAACGAAGCTATTGCCAATTGGTGGGAAAGGGAAGCTGATCACCTCGCTGCACCTGCATAATTTCAGTTTGAACTGTTGAACAAGCTGTCCAATTCCGTGGTTCTGACTAATTTCGTTTTAGATTTTGCATGATTTTGCCATGTCAGGGTGTTCACCTAGGAGACCTTAAGGCGTCGACATTACCACCATTATAAAAGTCCAGTTCAGAGGAAGTAATTACTTTTAGCAGTGTGTGTGTCTGTCTGTGTCTGTGTGTCTGTGTCTCTGTCTGTGTGTGTGTGTGGGTAATGGTCATGATTCTTGGCCGTACCCAATTGGTAATAGTCATCATTCTTGACTGTACACAATAATTAGGTGATAGAGCAATATGTGGTATGACGGTATGACCGATACCTCAACCAAGAATGCCAAAGCGGCCTCAATCATCCTCAATCCCTGCATGTTGTCCAAGTTTCATATCCTCTTCACACACAGAATGCTCACAATTCAGGTCATGTGCGAAGAGTTTCCCTAGGATTCCCTTGTCAGCGTCCTTGGTGGATGCCCTCGTTGATGTATACATGGACTCTGCCTGGCACCCGTTGGCATCTTGCGACACGGGCGGCTTTCGTCAGAAATAGAGGGTCAAGTAGGCTCATGCAACGACTGGAAAAGAAATCTTTGTCACTTGACATCAGTTCCCCAGGAAGAATCACATTAAGTTTCAGTTGGGATAACATGAGATATAGTTTGCAACCCAGCAGCCAGTTAACGTATTACCGCAACATTAGTACCCATCAACCAGTGCAGTTCCACCCATCCAAATCCCCAGCTGCACCAGCTGCCCCAGCTCAGCTGAGGCACCACAGCCATCTTGACTTGTTTCGATCTCCTTTTGCCTTGAAAGATCTTGCGACACGACCGACCAAGGACGGTCGAGTTTATATGTTTGCATCTTTGTAGCTAAGGCAGGGACAGTATGGCAGCTATTCCAGCTTGAATATTATATAGAATTGTATATATATACACATCTGTGTGTCTGTGTTTGTGTATCCTCTGTCTATGTCTCTTTCTTCTCCTTCAAGATGCTGTCATGTCTGCAGAATGTGCAATAGATTAAATGGATCTCAAACCTGATCTAGGCAAGCTGCTGCGTCGCCGGAGTCGTTCCACGGGTGGCCCTGCAGCAGTGCTGACTCGTTGCGGAAACGGGTCCAAACTATCCATCAAAATGAGTAATTATAATTGATATTAATTAATTATATACATTGATCAAGGATGATCAAGGACCAAACCACTATTTTTGACCACGATTGATCTTTTTTGAAGCGTAGCATCTGTTCAAAATCCAAAATCGTGATCATCATTCTACTGTAGATTCGTTTGTATAACCAATCCAAAGCTCGCCTTGCTCCGGTGACTCTGGCGATGGAGTGGACACCGATATTTGAGAGGTTGGAGCAGGCCTCAGGTGCAGCACAGCATATGCTATTGGATTTCCATTTAGGCTATGGCCACCTATGTAGGATGGGGTGCCAGAATGTGCCAATGGCAACATAAAAACCGTTGGTGGTATCCCACCATGACGACATGAACGCTGCTCTGCTGCTCCGCTTCACCCAAAATTCGTTGAACTAATCCCCTATACATAGAAACTCCCTTCACAGAGGTTTTCGCCTCTGCTCAAATCAATAATCATGAGCTATGCCCAGTTGCAAATGGGGCATTGAACCGCAGTTAAGTACCAGGGAATCCCCGTTATGTGCAATTATAAAGCCATTTTATATCTGGTGGTGAGAAAGGTTCATATTTACAGGTCACTGTCAATAGCATTGTCCCCATCGTCCAGTTCTTGCCTACCCAGGTTACCCAGTTCAGCTCCAAGCCCAACCCAAAACAGTCAGGAAAAGCTTGGATAAGTCAGACATCCATGTGGTCCCAAGTTTCAGACGCGGCCACAAATGTTGGCCATTGTAGCATTCAACTTTAGGGGCAACCCTCAACAAAAATGTTAGCTAACTGTCCATTTCTGTGTTGATCCAGTCTTTGGTGCGCCCCGATTCTGCGAACAAGTGGCTGTCCGGCAGGCAAGACCCAGTCAAAGTCTCCATCTTCCTGCGGGTTCACATCGGGATGAGAATGGGGTAATTTCTATGCAATGGAATGATGAGAAGCAAACAGATCGGGATTGAATCCCAAAACGCGGAATGGCTAAAAAACAAAGTTGGGATTTCTATGATCAACAAATCATGGGGCGCAGAAAATCTTCACCTGGCACTGGGCAAGAGGTGCAAAGTTGGTCAACCCGGCACAAGCATTGCATGAAGTGCGGCCCACTGCTACAGGTGCCCAATGCAAATCCTTCAAATTGCAATCGAGAATCAAAATGGCTGTGGGGATAAAATTGGATACCCAAAAAATTGGATGGTCCATACTGAAATTGACAAATAGGCATGGGGTTCTAAATTTCGACCCAACACCAATCGACATGTCCAAAACTGGGGCCTAAGACTCAAACCCAATGGATTCTCATCATTCTCCGAAGTGAAATGTCCATAAATTGTGGGGTCACTCCCTGATTTATTTCAACAAACTTCAGTTTTATCAGATTTGATCAGCCCTTGAATCCTTTGATCCATCTGGATCTCCCATGAACGGACCTCCAGGCCGACATCTGTAAGAGCTTTGGTGAAGCTACGGCGGAAATGCTGGTAGTTGGGTTTGTCCTGGAGATAACGGAGGTCAAAATGACTGCAGCGTGGAAAAAGGTCTGCTGAAACAACGTTAAAATCATGATTTACTGTTGAGAGATGCGGTGTATACACATATATGATGCACATGTGCATATGCATGAACAATGTATCTGATCAACGTATGTATATGAATATGAAACACACACATATATATATATATAGTGTATATACATACATACATACATTACATTACATTACATTACATTACATTACATTACATTACATTAATACATACATTACATTACATTAATACATACATACATACATACATACATACATACATACATACATACATACATACATACATACATACATACATACATACATTACCATACATACATACATTACCATACATACATACATACATTACCATACATACATACATTACCATACATTACTATACATTACCATACATACATACATACATACATACATTACCATACATACATACATTACCATACATACATACATTACCATACATACATACATTACCATACATACATACATTACCATACATACATACATTACCATACATACATACATTACCATACATACATACATTACCATACATACATACATTACCATACATACATACATTACCATACATACATACATACATACATACATACATACATACATACATACATACATACATACATACATACATACATACATACATACATACATACATACATACATACATACATTACCATACATACATACATTACATACATACATTACATACATACATACATATATATATATATATAGTTGCGTATAATATATATATATATAATGTAACCATGTGCATATACATATATATCTATAATCATATATATATTATGTAGGATGGATGTCAGATGTATTGCAGTATAAATATATACAACACATGATCTATAGACTATAGACAAGACATGACATGTATGTTACATTATAAATGTATAACTGTATAATATGGAATTGTAAGAACGCCAATATTGGCAATTCTAATGACAATAATTCGTTAATAATGGTACTACAGGGAACAACAATCATCATCCTCATCTCAGGCATGAAATCCGTCGAAAGCCACAGCTTTCAACAGAAGCCATGGCTGCGCCTCAAATCGCAGACTCTTGGCATAGTCCAAGAAGGTAGCAAAAGTCGAGTGATGGCCACAGAGCTCCTGGCGAATTTTGGGAAACAGAAGGATCCTGGAGCTGGAAACATGTTGTCGACATATGTTGTTGATGGACTTGTTTCATGGCACAACGTGGCACAACGTGGCACAACGTGGCACAACGTGGCACAACGTGGCACAACGTGGCAATACTGGCGGAAGATTTCAGACATACTCAAAACTTGCCATCTCCTGTGCAGATGTTGAACTCTTCATCTCCAGGATCTGAGCATGTTTCGCTTCCTGACATCCAGTGACATCCAGTGACATCCAGTGACATCCAGTGACATCCAGTGACATCCAGGCAAAATGATGTCGCAGGATAGCTGGGAGCAATGGTGCAACGCCATGGGAACAACCGTTGGGCCGTCCTTGGTGTCTGCATCAAGACCTTGCCAGGGAAGCTTCCCGCGAAGAAAGTATGCCAGTACCTGGGCATTCAAGATATGACAAACATTTCGGTTGCTCATGATTGATCCAGAATTGATAATTGTTAGTAGTGGTTAATGATATGGTTATATATTGTTATATATATGTATATATGTAGTTTATAATTGCTTGATTATAATTAATTATAACGGTTGATACAGTAGTGCTTGCTTCACTTACTTTCAGATAACCGTGGTGCGACCATCCCTTTAGCCGTGGTTTCAAGTATGTTGATGATCTGTTGATGATGCCAGTGCAAACAGCATCACATAGTTGTGTCAACATGCCATGTGCCGAGCTTGCGAATGCCCCTTTTCGTGTCAATTTCCACATTGCTCCCCAAGGCACATAGCCCATTGATTCCAAGTCATCGCAATAGCCTTGATCCTTTCCATGATGCGCTCGGATCGAGGCCTCAAGAGGCTCAAGTGCAGAAGCCACACTTGCAGCAGATTCTTTGGGAGATGTTTTTGCATCTGCCAATATCTGCCAACAATCAATGGATTGATTATGATTGATTAGAATGTCCGAGGTAAAAAATCGTGATTCACATGTGATATGGGTTGATCTGAATATAGGATCCCCCAAATCTTGCGGGTCCCCGGGTCCCTAGAAAAATTACCATGTGGGGGTGTCCCAGTCCCCATTTTCGAACTGATTTTTGACATCATGATATTGTTTGGATTAGGGTAAACCGCAGCACCCCACGTCAAGGTCACTGGTTGATCAGCATTCTCCCGTGTTTTTTTGCCATAGACCGGGTCTCAGTCCCGCATTTCCGGCACGAACTTGAGTGATATTGTTGGTTATATATGGATATATATGGTTACATCATAATCACCATATCCATTACATCTGCATTTTATCCCCATTGGATCCCTAGGATGCCCCATTCGCTTGGGCAAAACCGATGATCCATGGCCACGGCAGCCACGGCACATATCGTGCCGTTCCGGTCAGACTTTTCTGCTCTGCTCGTGGCTTATCTCGACGCCTTGGGGAGAAGCCCTTCTCATCAGAAATGGATGGTATAAAACCATTGGAATTCATGGTTAATCATCCCCAAATGGAATCCAAATGGAAGCCAAAAAAAATGGGTTGATGATTGGGCTTACCACGTAAAAAACATGTATATCATATATGATTATGAATCATATATGTCTATATGTCTATTCAAGATCGTTTTCTCGATCTTTGCGGCTTCGTCAATGCACCCAGGACCTGAATCTTTCCCTGGAGTCAATCTGATGTCAATACACTGCGTCAATATCTGTCGTACGACTGGGACTGCCCTCCCATGCACAAACGAACAACGAATAACTGGCCCTCAAGCAAAAATTGCATGGAGTGTTGTCCTTGAACCCGGGCCACATATTTTTTTGCATCAGCTTATCACATGTTGAGACTGGAACACTGCAACACTTGTTGGCAAGGCGTCGAGCTAAAACTGGGCTAGGCACTTCTTGCTCAAACCAAAGTCTACCAAATGAATCACCTCAAGGACACAAATCGCCGACTCACTGAAAACACATCCATTTGGAAGGTTTCTTCTGTCATCTTAATTTGCAGCATGCTACAGATTCTTTTCGCGCATTGTGGCCGCCAAAACTCGCAACATATGGCAACTGTCTCTCTCTACTTCTCCATGCTCTTCTCAGACTAAGCGGCCACTAAAACCACACCTTTTTTTGGGCAAGTTACATTGCGCCTTTCCCCGAGGCCAATCAGAAAATTCTCCGGCTTTATATCTCGATGTACATACTCCTGCGCGAAACTACGAAACTGCAAGGGAAAAGCTTCGGCAATCCGGAGCTTTTATCACAATGAAAACGATGCAATTCTGAATAGACATGATTAAACATGGGGGGGTGGTTTAGTATGGTTTAGCATGGTTTAGTTTTGGTTTTGACACTCTTGGCCCTGTCCTTGGAGTGAAGATATGATAACCTATCTAGCATTTGAGCTGCCATCATCGCGAGAGTCTTGAAACCTCAACAGCCAGGTGCACCATGGAGGATTGCTAGAAATAATGTCAGATAGTATCCAGCATCACGGGATGGAATATCATGGAACTGGGGTCATGAAATGTCATGAATCTCTCTTTGTGAACACCTTTAAAGCCTTTTGGTGATTAGAGAGAGGAGTCTATTGTAGAATTAACAGGTGAGGATCTGAATGAGACTGATACATGCAATCAGCTGGGGTCTGAAAATGGTGATACACTGATACTCCAAGTTATATATGTCTATTCTAATGGAAACATGTTGATAAACCATGATAAACCATTGGATTTTGTCAATGACAAACCCAGCTCTCCTCTTTGGTCAATGACGAGAGACTAAAATGGCGTCCACACTTCTGAAAGACCGCATCCAGTGAGGGACCCAGCAAATCCATCGCAAGCATGTTATAGCCTCCTGGCAAGGAAAGCGCCAGGGATACTACAGTGAATATGGAGTGAATATGGAGTTCCATCATTCTCAATTTCTCTCACAAGTTGCTCAATGACATGCTTGTCACCGTGATCAATGAATAATGTGTTGGGGAAGTCGAAAGCCAAAAGAAGCTTTCCAGTGCTGACAGCTGTCACAAGAATCGAGCCGGATGTTAGCAAATTGAGCACTTCCGTGTGATTCCCCATCTTTCCTCATCCCTGGGAGCTTCCAAACAACCCATCTTCACTGCATATGCAGGGCACCATTCGAAGAACGACTCAGAAGTCTCAGACCCTGCCTTCGGCGCACACGTGATGAACCTTCGGAAACCCAGGAGAGGCCAGACGCTTCAAAAGGTGAGCCTCTGAAAAAAGCAGGGTACTCCTGCAGGCCATCCTCAGATGGTGCCGGCTGGTGCCAGCTGGGGAAACTGCGAAACTTCAGAGAGTCTAATGACGATTCGCATCTTCCAACACACCTATAAATACCTATAATATATCCTACAAATCCATACAAGTCCATACAAGTCCTACATTGCGTGCAAAAATCCTAACTTTACACTGCATGGGTATTGTTGCAGAGGAAATGCAAGGCAAGGCATGCACAACATGCATTGGTTGATTGGAAACTAACAGACCAGTCGTATCAAAATCCAAGAATCATGGCAGCCCCTGACAGTCATGAACTGACGGGATTGCGTCCTCCATAAACATCATTTTCCCCCGCACCTAAGCAGACTAACCATGGCTAACCATAAATATATATAAATATATACACCCTCTACATGGTGTTAAAACATATTTTTCCAACATCCCGGGCAGCTGCCAAGGCTCTCCACCTTCACTGCCAGCTCCTTCCCACGTCGATTCTTGGCTAAGAAGACCTGACCGAAGGAGCCGCTGCCCAGTCGTCTGCCCAAGTAGAATTTGTCGTCCTGGCCACCAACATCGACGCATAAGGGGACCACCCGGGGACGCCAAACGATATGGGGAAAGTATGGCAATGGGGAGTCATCAGCAATTGGGATGACTAACCAGTTCATGGGAATATACTGATAGATACAATGAAGAAATAGAGCCACGGATGACGTGACTGGTCCGTTTTCCTGGACCATCCAACTTTGGATCTGATTTGGAGCCATGCCCGGCTAAAAAGGTCACCAAGTTGAAGAGCGATGAGAGCATCAAAGACATTCAAAGACTGTCAACTGATTACCAGCTTCCAGCTGAGATCTTGATTGGTCACATTTCGTTCCACAAGTCTAGTCACATCTCGCCTGCACTAAATCAACAGGCAAGCTGTAGATGTAAAATATTGTAAAATGATGATGTTATAATGAATAAATATCAATTATTATGTACAAATATATGTATATATGTATGTATATATAATATGTATATATATATGTAAATGAGGTATCAGGAGGACTCGTCCTCGAATCCGTTTTCCTCATCGAAGCATATCTCTGTCCAAGGCATGATGGGCGGCAGCAAAAATCACGGTGGCAACACAGCCTGTGACTTGAGCCTGGCTTTGACGTTGATGAAGCTTTTCAGTAATCCGCAATTAGTCCACATGTGACAGTTCTCAAGTGATCTCAAGTGCGTTGTCATAATGTGTTTTATCCTGTCTTCTGGAGTCTGTCTTGTAGAGCGGCCGAGTCGTATGTCCGTCTGAAGGCACAAATACAAAGTCCGCAGGAACACTGGAAAACGTGCCTTGAGCCAAAGCATCGACAAAAGATTACATGATTGTTGTAAGGTAGCACCGTCTTGTCAAGTCCTTAGCCACCTGGAGCAGCCATAGCTTGTGCAAATTTTGAAGCACTGTTTCATCATGTGTCATGGATTCGAAGCTGGATGTGTGTTGCATGTTTTTCCTATTGTTCCATATGTTTCCATATCTTTCCATATCTTTCCATGTTTATGGTAAGGTCCCCTCGAGGGCGTCGCGGAGTGTTGTCGTTTTTTCATGTTTGCGTTATTTTCGAAGCATCCATTTCATGCCACGTTTTACAGTGTTTTCTTCTGCTTCGTTGCATTTTCTGCTGTTTTTTACTGTGTTTTTTGTGACGTGCTTCCTGTGATAGTTGCATGTCGGCATGCCAGGGTTTGCTTGGGGGGTGGGGTGGGGGGGTGGGGGGGTGGGGTGGGGTGGGGGGGGGGTTGGGGGGGTGTTGGGGGGGGGGATGATAACGTTCTTGTTTATTAACGTTCTTGCATCTGCGTTCTTGACACGCTTTTCACTTCTGCAAGTGACGGTTTGACACGCGTTGGATGTTTTGGTTTTGATATGTTGACGTTGGTTGGTGTCCGGTGGCGTGTGGGCATGGGGTTGGGTTTGGGGGGATTACAACGTTCACGTTAACCAGCGTACTTGCAACTACTTCCTTACACGCATTTCTTATTTGCAATTCATATCATCATCATCTCCAACATCATCATTATCAACATAATCATCATCATTAACATCATCATCAACATGATCATCATCGTCAACATCATCATTATCATCATCATGATCAACATGCCCATCATCATTATCAACATCATCATTCTCATCATCATGATCAACATGATCATCATCATTATCAACATCATCATCATCATCATCATCATCATCATCATCATCATCAACAACATGATTATCAACATGATCATCAACATGATCATCATCATTATCATCATCATCAATCGCTTCGGTGAGGTAAAAAAAAGTTACTTCGGAGACCCCTCTTGGAAGATGCATTTTAAAAAACTTCACGAAATGCAGGTTTTAAAGGCGTTGTGCGTTGAAAAACGCGCGACGCCCTCGAGGGGACCTTCCCATGTTTATCTATATCATATCAAAACTGCCAATAGTATGGCCATTTATGGCATAATTAACCTATGAATCCAACCTGGACATGTCGCCCTGCTTACGTGGCCCCATGCCAGGCTGGTCCATGGGCCTCTGCCCATTGTGGTACCAGCATAGATGCTCCGGCTCCTCAAGAACCAGGACCTGGTGAAATGAGTTGAGATGGGCCAGTTTTCTGAGGATATCATGGGACTATAATGTGAATATCAATGGGATATCTAATGGGATACTTAATGGGCCAATATAGTCTCATTTCCTGGGGATATTTATGAATACTTACTGGGAATTCAATGGGATAAAAAGCAACAATCATGGGGATGTAATTAATGGGATTAATGGAGGAAACCAACCTACAACAATGGGATGTTAATGGGAATATAATGAGAATACAGTGAGATATCGGATATAATCAACAATAGGATATTTGGGCTTGTGCAAATATATATATTATATATATATATATTATATATATATATGTATATATTATATATATGTATACTTAGCACCACAATTCTGTGGTCCCTTTGGTCTTAATTCTTGATTCGTACCCGGTATCAGGCATCTTCCACATTCATTGTTTTCCTCCACTGGCCACAGGCCACGATTCTTCCACCAAGAATACTGTTCCAAACAGTCTCGACCAGTTTGGGTCACCCCATGACCATCTTGGCTCCCCTGGTCTCAGGACTGAGCGAAGCTGATTTGCCCAACTTCACCTTCCTCTCCCAGTTCTCCACTCCGCTACACTTAGGTCATGACATCTTTTGGGCAGTCGGCAAGAACCTTTCAGAACAAGCATTATATGCATTGGGGAGTTGTGCTGGGGTCGGCGATGGTCTTCTTGCAAATATGCAGTGTAGAAAGTATGGACGCCTAGCTGCAGCTGGCAAATATACAAAACTATATACCCTGGCCCTGTTCATCCCTGCTCCCTGCGGTCTGTTACGAAAGTACATGAATGTAACGTAACCTACTGCCTGATATGTTCTTTTCCGTGAGTAGTGAGCGAGAGGACACTTTCAAACCAGCTTGCCACACCTGCGAGTTGTCCTGCTTTGGAAAGATGCTCTTGACAGTATCAAAGTAGGCAGCCTCACGCAGTTTCGCACTGTTGCAACTGGTGGTGAGTCAAAGACACAGGGTAAGGGCATCAAACGCACAGCTCTTGTGACTCGGTATGTCCCACCAAAATCCTTTAAAACTTCTTGCATCTCCACTCACAGCGCTTCAAACTGCTTGTTAAAATCTGCTTTGTTGAGAAAATGCAGATGCATTCTCAACCAGAAGCCTCCACAGCTCAGTCAGTCCCCTCAAAAAGCCCCCAATTCACGGACGTCTTTGGCGAGTCTAGGGGGAGAGTGAGGAGTCTGCATACTGCTGCAGGCGCAGTCAGGCGCAGTCAGGCGCAGTCCGGCGCAGTCCTCGTACCAGCGAAAGCTTAAACCTTCTCTGTCTGGATCCATCTTTGCACGGTCCACACACCACTTCCGAATGTATCTCTCCTGCAGCTGCCACCGTGTGGTCAATGTTTGAAGCCCTTGGAAAGTCCAATGCCTATTTTTTAACTATTTTACGATCTTATGCAATCATATTGAGGATAGTGGTGTTACAGAATCACAGCACACAGTCTTTGCCAGCGAGACTGTCGCGTCTCTGTCCTGATCTTTGGGGTTTTCAAAGCGGAGGTTGTCTGGATATATGAAAGCCTCGCAGTTCGCCGTGTGGCGATATATGAGGGAACCTGAATGAGCAATAGAGTAAAAGCCCAACAAGTTTCCTCATCAATTATTGGCGTATCTGATATGTGATTTATCTTCCAAACACATCCAAACCCAAGAAGCGACCCCTGTTCGCATCTGAGGCCACATGGAAGACCAAATTTGCTTGCTTGTTGCCAATGTGATATTGATGTTGACACACGAGCAAATCAATCCTTCAAGGAACGAAACATGGAAAGCGGTTGCATTGCCCAGTGCAAGTACCATTACAAATCTTCTACTGTTCTCTTCAGACTGCCTCAAGACTCCCAAGGCCCAAAGTAAGAAAGCACTTTCCAGCTCAGCCCTCGCTGTCTAAGCGCCGCCCCTTTCACGGGGCACAGGGCCCTAGCAAAGATGTTCACAATTGATGACAAATGACATGGGATGTCGCAATTCTCATGCACTGTTTGCCTTTGAAAACCTTTGGGTTTCCATGAGTACTAGGCCTACTAGGCCGCCCAGGCCCTTGTGAATGGTGCAACGCTAGTCCCCAGATGGCAAACGGTCCCTTGGTACTTGATGCAGCAACGGCGGCATAAGGATACGCAAGTCATGTAGGTATGGCAATAATCATAAGCTTGCCAGTCCAGTCCGGTTCATAGGCCAAAGCTCCGCAAACCAAACCCAGGGCCAGTGCAGAAGTGAGGGGTCAAATTTAGTGACCCCAACTTGCATTGTGTGGAAAACCGCCTCGTGGGAGTTGCTAGCTTTGCCCTCAGCATATCCTCACATTGCAATATTCAACTTGATCTAGACATATCTAGATCAACTATATAAATTCAAAGCTAGAATACATGATGTTCACATCTGTGGTCTGTCTACTAGCAACACCCTCCCAATCTCTGGGAAATTAGATAAAACAAAGACTCGTGGGATTATCCAAACTTTCTCCAGAGCTTGGAATTAGCCGAAGACCAGGATGCTCGGATATTTACAATTTTCCCAGGAACGCTTTGTGTTCCCAAGGGCTAGGATCCTGGAACGTGAATCAACCCCCTCCTGCTTCTATATTACACATCACTGCAAACACTAGTGCATGGCAAATGCATATGGACAATTATGGACATACTCTATAATATATATATATATACATAATTGTGTGTATGTATACATATATATGTATGAAGATGTCACATGGAGCACTTCGCAGTGATGGACAGTTCCGGAGGGTTTTGTCACATCCAGCTGCGCAAGCGATGCATCGATGCATCACTTCTGCGTGAGGATCTCTGCAATCTTCCGGGAGACGACGCCAGGAGGATCCCAGCCAGGCCCCATCATAGCCTGGGCCGATGTCGTCTTCTCCAACTGCTAATGAAGCTTTCGCCTGCGTCAAGTTCTGCCTTGGTATAAAGTAGGAACCCCCCTTGTAGTATCAAATAGCCCACCCAAATCTTGTTCAACAACTCTCATCATCCGTCCGAAGCACTGCTTTGCCCATCATGGCATCGCGCATCATCACCTGCCACAGAATGCAGGCCATCCATCTGCTCCAGCAGGAATGACTGACAAGTTTCATGAACAGCAAAGAGTCAGCTGTTCAGCTCCCAGAATCGCGGAAAAAAATACACAAATATGGTGTTGCATGGTGCTGCTTTCCAAGAAAGACTGACATGTTTGATATATGATCCTGCTCTGCATCGCACTCGGTGCGCCTCTGTGATGTCAAGGTTCTGCTTCTTGATCATTGCATTGTAACCTCTAGTGACACTTCCCAAGACTTCCCCAAGGGCAAGCTGTCAGTGATTCTGAAAGAGTCTCAAATAAGCGCTACTGTCTTGAAGTCGGCGAAACTCTGAATTCCTTTCATGTGACAGTTTTGGCTCCCTAAAACAGGCTGCTACCAGATGTAATGAAACCACTTTGCAGAAGCTGTGCTAATACAAGTTCTGAAGCATTGGCATCTTAAGAAGCCGCTGATGTGAACATGAGAAGGAGAGCAACACGAGGTTCATCAAGTTGTGAAACCACACAACTCCAAGTCTCCGCAACCAACTGGAATATGTCTGAATTTGAAAATTTTGAGTTGGTGTTTTGACTCAGACATAAAAACTCGTACGAATTGAGGGAGGGAAAGAGGTTGTAGAGGATGTTTGAAGCGTGTTTGGACGTTTTGAGTTGTCCTACCACTCCCTTGCAGCGCCAAAAGTGCAAGCTGGAGGCTGTCTCGCGCCTCAGACAACAAGCCGTAGGATTGAAGTGACGACGGTTTCTGCTTCTTCTCACTCTATGTCTGTCTGTCCAATGACGGGAATTTGGAGCAGGTCCCCTTGTATAGAAAGGGTCGGAATACAATGGACTGTTGCAATCTTTGTCTCCCTTCAAACTTCAACTTGTGACGCGCGAACAAGATTGGACAGCTAAAACCACTTGGGTTTGTCGGAAGGTCCCTCACACATCGTTGAGAACGTCATGTTTCCCCATGTTCCCCCAGTTTACAGGTTCACCAACATGAAATCGCCATGGTCCCATAGATTTTCCCATGACAAGTCGCCAGTGAGGGCTCCTTCGGTACCCAGTGCACGGTGGAATTCTTCGATGGATCTGGTTGCTGCTCTAGTACTCTCATGGCCTGAACTATCCGGGACTCAAATGGACAAATGGATTCAAATGGTCCAAAAAATCATAACCCCAAATTGCCAATCTCTTAATTTTGAGGGTGTACGGAAAAATCATAGTAGTTAATAGTGATCAATCGTTGGCTTTGGGGGTACCCTGTTGCTCAAACAAAGCCACATTTTGGTAGAAGTTGGCATCCGCAAACGGAAATTGGGATTCAAAGGCGGTTTGACACGGAAGTTCATAAATGTCAACATCTGCTATGAACCCCTTGCTTCGAAATCATGCAGCCACCTGTGAATCTTTGATAGCAACACATTGCAAGGAAGTTCCCATTCCTTGACAATGCAGCCTCCATCTTCTATTTCCATACTGTACCTTTGCATACCTTTGCTACATTGACTCTGGCCAAACCACTGAGTATGTCCATGTCTCAAGCAGTCTCATCCCCTATTTCACAATAGATATATAATGGGGAGCAACTTGTTTAAATTGAGGTTTCCTAAGTCATGGGCATGGGGGTACCCGCATATCATCCAAAATCAGACAATTTTAGTATTGAAGCCAATGGTTTTGGGATGTTTTGGGGATCCACCATTTTAAGAAGTTCCCAAATCGATGTGTCTGGATGTTGACGGCCTGTGCTACTTGCGTCCCAGCTTGCTGCAAGACTCCCGCACTCGCTGCGCCGCTGGCACTCGTCTTGATTGCTCCAACTCCAGCCCTTCCTGTGGTGTCGTGCATCTGGTTTCAATATGTATCAATTTCAAGAGTTCTAGTATCAAGACTATCAAGGATCGGCTGGCATCATTTCTGGAACGAGCAATCAACTTGACATCGTCGAAATGCATCCCAGTTTTTTCCATGACAGCTTCACAGCTCATGAGACTCGCGTGGACCCTTTGCCAGCGAAGAGACACATGCATAAAGTTCATAGGCGGCCTTTGAGCACTTCAAGACACGCTCTGAAGTGAAATTGGGATCCTTGAAATACTTCTGGATCTTTGCGCGTTGCGCAGGCTCTATGTCTGACTTGGATCGCAGCTTGGAAAGCAAGAAGGGATCTGACAGCAAGTACCGCCGTGCAGGCTCCCAGTAGTCAATTCGTTTTCGCGCCCTTTCATCAAAGGACTTCACAGGTTCGATATGAAATAAGACACAACAAACCTCCATGAGCATTCGCACTGGGGGTGGTGGTTTCTTCAGAGCTTTGATCTCGGAGAGATCACGCATGGACAAGCCACCCTGGGGTGTCTGAGGCACTTGACCTTGGAGGCCTTGGAGGCCTTGGAGGCCTTGGAGGCCTTGGAGGCCTTGGAGGCCTTGTGCTATTTGGGTGCCCCCTGAGGTGCTATCCACCTTGGGTGCCTCCGCCTCCCAGCTGCGGCTGGTCGAGAGTGGTGGACCCAGTGGTGGTCCAACCAGCCCAGGCTTCTGCAATCGCGCCATGGATTCACCACCTGGGTCCTGATGCTCCTGGTACACTGTGGCCCATTCCCGCAACAATCCACCAGCTGTGGGCAATTCCTCCTCCATCTCCAAGGTTTCTGAGGGCTCAAGAACCATCTCTGGACTATTCTGAAGCGAACCACTGGAATCCAACTCACTGAGTGCACTCTGTGCCTGGTCCATCTCCAAGCGGAACTGTTCAAACTTGTTCTGAAGCTCTCGGCGTTTTTCCTCAGCCTTGTTCAGGTCCTTGTCCAATGCCTTGCTAAGCTCCTGTTGCTTACCTTGGTGCTAAACAGGAAAGATTGCACCAGAAAGGGACACCTTTGGTTTTGCATGCTCAATTGCATTAAATTACACTCGATCACATCTCACTCCATAACAAATGCATCGCATTCTGATAAATCTGGCTCTTGTGCAATCCATGAGTCTACCAGTCTACTTGCAAATGATCCTCATAATTATGGTTTCGTGCCTCAAACCCATAATGGAGAACAAATAGCCCAAAGAGGCATGGAACATGCGTAATCACAAAAATGACAATTTTGGGTGGACTATGGCGGACTGGTGATTATATCATGTGATATATATATATATATAATAATTATATATCATAATTATAATTATATATATATACATATCGGGACTCATTATATATATATATATGATTATATGTATATATATATATATATGAATTATATGAATAAATAATTTAAATATCATTAAATATCCATATATATATATATATCCATTGGAGATCATTGGAGAGTTTCTCGTTCAATGGATTCAAGGTCCAGCTGCGAAGCCTCTTCGTGAGCTCCACGTGCTGCTCTGCAGTCTCTTGAAGTCGACGTCGCAAGGCATCGCGTTCTGCCCGCGACTTTTTGAGCTCCTGCTCCATCTGGGCCATTTCTGCCTCACAACTGTTGAGCTTCTCTGCTGTTTGCTGTTGCAAGGCCGCGATTTCATCTTTCTCTGCCCGTTCTTTCTGAAGTGCTGCACGGAGTTCAGAAACTTCTCTGAGTACTGCCTCATTGACATCAGTGCTGTCTGTAGCCTGTGACTCCTGAGCCTGCTCAACATCTTCTATCTCAGCATATCTTTCCTCCTTTTCCTCCTCTGAGTGAAGGCCATCCTCACAAACTGCATCATGCACGGTGGGTGCCATGGAAATCCGACTAGGCTTTGCATCTGTCGATCCCGGCAGCTCCTCTGATTGCTGAGGCCCAAGGCCTTCAGGGCCTTCAGGGCCTTCAGCGCCTTCAGGGCCTTCAGGGCTCTCAGGGCTCTCAGGGCTTTCAGGGCCTTGGTCCTTTGGCACCTCTTGGTGAACCAACTCTTCGCACTCATGGCTGGGCCAAGCCACCAAGGATTTGAAGGATGGGGTCCAGCAAATCTCCCTGGCTTCAGGCGACTCAGACATGGACTGAGGCACTTGGGGCACCTCCAGCTCCGCCAAGGGAGGAATCACTTTGCTGGGCCTCCAGGGAGGCAGCTCTTCAGGAGAAGGTGCATCACCAGTGTCAGTGCTTTGTGCTCCTGCCCAACTTGGGGAGAGAACCCGCAACATGGAAGATTCCTCAGCTGCATGGGCAAATGCCCAACTGATCACAACTGGTCAAGAGAACCAAATGCTCTACAAGTTCTGGAATGGTGTGTATGGGTGTCACAGTCATTGAGAAGAATAAATAAACTAACGCCTACTACTAAGGTCTATATAAATTTAAAGAACATGTGTTCCAACATGTGTTCCACTACTAGGCATGTTGATCAATGGTGGCAAACATGAAAAAGATATGAAAAGATTCAAACATCAGCCACCGAGCATCTGAAGATGGCAACTTTGCTGCAGCCACCTGCGACAGTGGAATTGAAACGGCTTCCACTGGCGCTTTGGCTGTCCTTGAGGTGTCACTTAAGGACGCTGCTGCCACCGATGCCAAGTGAGCCAGGTCGGGTTGTGGAGCTGGCATGCTTGGCCAAGAAGATGAAGGGGATTGCACTTTGGGAGGTGGCTCAACAACTGTGGTCTGTATGGTTTGAGCTGTTTGAAGCAAACGGCCTTCACCTGGTAGACGGATCTCGGGACTTTTGATTTGCGGAATCTCCTTGTGCGCCTGCTCTGGTGTCTTCCAAACAACTTTACCCACCCTTCCATTCACATGCCCTGGCTGCAAGGTCTGCAACAGGGTGCGACCCGAGCCCACGGGGGCCACTGGGCTGACCGGGCCCACGGAGCTGATCAGCTCACATCGCGGCGTCACGGTCACCACTCGCGCCGAAGCTGGTGGGGTGGAGTGCCCCGAGGGCCCCGAGGGCCCCGAGGGCCCCAAGGGCCCCGAGGGCCCCAGGCGAGCAGTGGCAGGGGGCGAAGCATCCCCAGGTCGGGACCAGGCCGTGGCTCCAAGCTGTGGCTGTGGACTGTGCCACACGGCCTGGGTGACATAGCCACGTGGGGCATACATGGCTGAAATCCTACTGACCTTGGGCAAAAAGTTGGCGGAATCCACATGAAAATGGAGAAGTGTAGCAAATTGATGTAAATTATAATATATATATATAATATATTATGCATTCTGTGAAGCTGCAGTTCACCAAATGAGAGGCAGGCATTCCAAAACCACGAGACATCCAATCAGAATCAATCAGCTTTCGCCAAGCTTCGGGATGGTAGCATGGAGTTCCAGCTGATATCTCTGGTCCTAAACACAGCAGCCACATAGATAAGTCATGGGCATGCGTCAACAATTAGGGAGTCCAATGGACTCATCAACTGTTATCAACTTTTAGCGTTGTTTGAATCTCATCCATCTTGAAGGGATGGAAAACGTTCAACCACCTTCTTCTTGAACCTTTCCGCCTTCATTCTGTCAGTTGTCTCTCCACGTCTCTCTGTGGGATCCTGAGACAGGGACAACACTGGCATGGAGGAGATGCGCGGTACCTTGCCTTTCTCCTGACATGGCGCAAAATTTTTGAGGCCCATCACATCCCCTATGTGGCTATGGATCAATACCTACACATACCATTTTTAGTGGGATGAACATCCATTTACCAGCTATTTTGATGTTCACTAGGGGTACCAGGGTTTTGACACACTGCCATGTCAGCCTATGTCTGTAGCTAAAAGGGTGATGGGTACAACAGGAGAAAACCACTCCCATGTCGCCAATCACAAAAGAAGAAAAAACCTTGGCCTTGGGTCGAAACGGACCAAGAACCCAGAATTTGACCACGTTTGGTGTTCAACAACTCAACGAGTCCATTTGGGCATTTGGGTTTGTCTGGAAATAGGGTACTCCATGGTACACCAAGAATCCCATAGTTTATCATCATTTGTTTAGCATTGAATCACACTTAAAAAACCATTTTGGGGTATACCCCAGTTTCAGACACACCAAGCATGTCCTCTCTCGGCACAGGTGGCTTTGATGCTGCGGTCTTCTCTGCAAGCTCCTGCCGTTGCCCCATTGGAGACCCCATAGCCAGTGAAGACAAGAAAATGTCATGTACCCTGCGGTAATTGTGGCAACTTTACTAGATAATACTAGATAATGTCAACCCTGGATTAATAAACCTCTGGATTGTTTAATTGGGAGGGTATTAGATTATGACTATTGGAGGAGGACCCCCCCAATTAATAAACAATGGTTTATTAATCCGGGGTTGACATTACATTAGATACATTGGTTCTCTGCGCAAGTTGGCTCAATGAGTCACTGAGGTATTTTGGTAAAACCCATCTCAGGACTTCTCCAGCCGAAACTGGTCGAAATTGGCTACCCCAAGCTTTGAAAGACTAAGACTGACCAGAGTCCGTGGCTGCCATGGAAGTTTTGAATTTCGATCCATGGATGCCATGGATGTAAAAAAGTGTTAGTCACTTGGATCAAAATCTTGGCTCCATAATTGTCCATGAATTCATGGGAATGGAATGGAATGGAATGGATGTCATCGCATATGGACATCAATGGGAATATCCAAGTCCTCGTGCACTTTCAGGTTTTCCATTGCAGCCTTGACATTCTCAGAAACCTGGTCGAGAAAAGATTGCACACATTAAAGAGAAAAAACAGGTGGGAAACTCACCAAAACTAACCCATGATTTCATGTGAATGAGAAAAACAGAGGGAAATCATCCAACATTTAGGTATATTTAGGTACCCAACATAGTTTCACAGTTTTCTGGTACCCTTTTTAGGAAAGCACCGACACACGCGCATCAGTTGATCCATTGATCCATTGATCCATTGATCCATTGATCCATTGATCCATTGATCCATTGATCCATTGCCCCACCCAGACCTGCTGGCTATTGTCATCTGCACGTCGACCTGGTCCGCACCATCGAGTTTTGTCCAAGGGAAAATTATCACATCTACATAATTGATCATAAATGTACCATCCAAATCTGTTTGAAAACCATGGGAATATAGAATTCACATTTAAGTTTCCTGGAAATGTTTCCTCACATCAGTTTTAGGGGAGAAGTTGTAGCTGCGCTTGGCGCCTCCAGAAGTCAGCAGTGCCGCAATCTTGCGCGACCTGGGACAGCAGGTTTGTCCAGCTTTGCCGACAAAGGCTTCCATTGAGTATGCTATGTATAATCTGTGTGTATATATTATATATATAATATATACTGCATACGAAGATTATATACATGATATATCATGATACCTTACGCATCCATATGTGTGTGTGTGTGTCTCTCTCTCTCTCTCTCTCTTGTCCGTGTCCGTGTGCAACTGCTTACGTACCCAAACTCAGAGTTTGGCTAGCTGTTCTGTCATGTTTTGTTCACAGTGTAAGCCTACCGGTTCCGCTTTTCCATGCTTTTCCAGAGTCCTTTGCCATCGCAACAGTGTCCAACCACGTATTCATTGCATTATCTAACCCCCCAAGAGACAACTATGCTTGGTACTAGTAAAATGACTACGACATACGACCATCCACTCTTTGGCCACGACTGGGCATCCGCACACCATGCCAGGGGGTTCCCAACCTCCCCCAAACTCTGAAGAGCGACCAATCGTTGCAGCCTTCATCATCTCCTGGGAATGTGCCCGGTGGGAACTTTGGCGTATCTCAAGTCCTTCAAAATGGTCCATGTAGCTGGGGAAAACCATTTAATTATTTAATTGGTTGGGGATGGTGGGGGTATCGGTCTCCCATTTCAAGAGGCCCAAAATCTCCAGAAAAGATGCGCCGGGGATCACGGGAGAGTAGGAAAAGGATGGAAAAGGTCGAAAACGAAGCTCTGGCAGAAACCATCCAATATCGAAGTATGTTGAACCCCTTTCACCATCCAATATCGTCCTCAGTGACATCCAGCTTCCGGCTCCGGGAGCCCTCCAATAAGGAGTTGCGACCTTATATCAGATTTTCGTGGAACTGGTTTTCTGGTTTCATCTTTTTCACGGTCTCTACATTTCATCAAGTTTTGCTTCAGGATCTCTGGGCCTTCACGCTTGCCCGGCCCAGTGACGCCTTACCAGGCGGAGTATGATTCCACTATATTCCACTAAACATTCATGTACAGTACAAAGCTCATAATTGTTTGATGGTTTCGACTCATCCCAGACACTTTGTCACTTAGGATGTCTTATGATGTCTTGATATGTCTTGGGATCATCCTCAGAGGATGGAAAGTACAACCAGAAACGGCTTGATTATCTCCGCCTCGCTAGGACTCCAGTAGATGGTCTTTGACATCCTCCAGAGCTGCAACTGCTATGGGGCAAAAATATAGAGACAGAGTTCGACTATGTTGGACTTGGAGAACTTGATAGAAGTTGCAGTTTGTGTTTTCAAACATGTGGAAACTCTCTTTCGCCAGGAATTCTAAGCATTCATTCAGTGCCATTGATTCATGGTGAGATGTGAACAGCGGTGCCAGAAAATCATCTGCCACAAGGGAAAGGCTGAGACCTGCACGTTGGAGCGCCCAAAAAATCCTGTATACGAAGAGCTGATGTTGCTGATACGACGAATGTTCAACCCTTCGGAATCCTGGCCCAGTATAAAGAAACGACAAGAAAAACATAGAAAAAAAAACATGGCACAAACCATGAAAGGCAAATATATGGCAAATATCCTGTCATTCCCCAATGGAGCCAGTGTCAAATGTTTTTCCGCTGTGGAAAGACTGCCCAGTGTACTTGGAAAAATATCCTGGAGCCAAAGTGCAACGGAAAGCGAGTTCTTACAGAATGGATTGATAAACCTTCGGTGCGCCTCTCCTAAGGTGGATGGAAGAAATCCTGCACCACCTTGGATGGTTGAAACCCTATAAATAGTGGTATAAACCATCTATCAACTGGTGCAGGATTTCTTCCATCATCACTGTCATCCCCGTCTTTCAAAGTGTCTAATTCAAACTGGAGCTGAAAAGGCCCTTGGCACAAGCACGGCCTGATGCTCACTCGCCAACCATGGCATGACCAAGATCACCTTGTGTCCGCGCCTCCAGTGGAAGTTGAGATGAAATGAGCCGAGGGATTTGAACAATTTTGAACAAACAAGTCTATACATATATATATATGATACAGTATAACAAGATATAACAAGTATATGTGATGAAAGCTCTGCTCCTGCTTTGAATCAGCGGACACTGCAAAATCTGCAATGCTTCCACCCTGGCCTTGCCAGGTAAAGACTACGCAAGAGCGGATTGATGGACGGTCCAGTCCTCTTTGAAGCGGCTGGAGATGCGGCTGGTGCAAGGACAAACATCACATTTCGTCACATTCAAAGTATGTCATTTGATGGAAAGTATGCACTTGCAAGCTGGACATACTACCATCAATCTACCATTACACTATGTCATCTGGGGACCCTTTCGGAGGATGATGACATGCTGTGACATGCTATCCTTGCGAATCCATCTGAGGCATTGTTTGGTACTTACTTGCTCACAGCTGTCAAAAGCCAAGAAGTAGAGGGTTTTGCAGAAATTCAAAACTGGAGGCCCTGGAGGCCAGAGAAAACTAGAAAAACCAGGGATTTGACCTGTAAAGGATAGAGAAAATCTTCTTGGAGAAGCTGCAGCCGCTGCGCCATGTCTGAGTGCCCCACGTCCAAGGTAATGCTGCGGTGGTGATCACAGTTACATCCCTGGAATGCTTCAGCTCAGTCAGTGATGAAATATCTTGTCTTTCTATATTTCGGGGGCACCAAACAAAATTGGCCTGGTACACTTGTATAATTGATAAAATTCACAACTTTGCCAGTTTGTTGAGTTACATGGAGAACCTGCCGTGTTTACTGTGTTTACTGGATATTCTCAACTCAAAGTGCTACAGATGTAGGCAACGGGCGTGGAAACAGTTTGCAATTCTTGGAATTGACTCTCTATTGGCAGTGAAGTTGTTCTTGGAAATGCAAGCTCAATGTCTACCAGCCACTACTGGCGTGTTGAATGAGCGAACACCTGCAAGGAGTGTGAACCCCCAGTGGTTAAAGTTCCAGTTGTTTCAATGTCCTCAATTATTCCCTTCCCCCATGTCATCAGTAGTCCCTTGGCCCAAATACAATCAAATACAATCAAATACATCCAAATGCCTTGAAATGAGTCTTGCGCAACGTAAAGACTGTTAAAACTGATATCATTTGGTATCATTTGATATCCATGTCTCCCCTACAATTCAGATCAGGTCCTCGAAGCATTGCGGAGATCCGAAGCAGCTGTGCACCTGACGTCAAATTCCTGGATTCTCCCAAGAAGGGGATGGGACACCATATAATTGTATCACAAGACCACACTAGGTTCAGAACTGTCATGTGAGGTAGCTTGGTGATGACAAAATCAGTGCTTCTCCCAAACTGTATTTGTTTCAATGGGATTCATGTAACCTCGCCAGAGAAGGCTCAAATAAGTCATGGCGTCCATGAAGTGCTCAGCTTGGGACTTGGGGAAGGGGCCCAAGGAATAGATGGGCACACCACGCTGCGCATCCTGTCAGATCAGTGCTTTTTCGGGACACGAGGACCTATGCGAGATTCAAGATATTCCAAAGGAAGAAATGGCGCTGAAATTCACCATTCCTAACCATTCTGAATGGATCTTTACCATTCCCAGCTTCCCAACTTCCCAACTTCCAACCATTTTTTTTGCTACCCGCAAGCACAGCACGCTCCAAGGCTTGGACGATGGGTGTTCTCCCGAGCTGTTGGACTAATGTGGCTTCTCCCTCCCGAGAAGTCCTCGCCGATCGGGATGGGGTCTGGACTAAGGGATGATCCAATAACTAAGGGCTACAGCAATATGTAGTAATATTCATAACTTAACTTTCAATCACTAAGCATTAATCCCCATAAGTTGGGCTCTGGGATCCATGTAACTATGCTAACTAACCATTTAGAACATGTTTCATTTTATAACCTCAACTGCACACCCAAGCGGGGTCAGGGGTCAATGAAACCTCTCTGGGAAGGCCGCCCAAAGTTGTCCACGTAACTTGGGTGAAGTCGAAATGCTGGATGCGGCTGGTTCACCAGAACTTTCACGACAAAAAAACTGACTGAATCTGACTGATAAAGAAGGCTTCAGACCAAACCGGTGGCAGGTACAGTATTTGTTCGGAATTAGGTATCTGCATGTATCTGCACTTCATTGGCACTTCATAAACATCTTATATATATATATGTGTATATATATATATATGTGTGTATATATATATATATGTATATGTATATATATATATGTGTGTGTGTGTAAGGTATATGTATATATGTATATATATATATATATATGTATATATGTATGTATATATATATATGTATGTGTATATATATATATATGTATATATATATATATGTATATCCATGTATATATATATATGTATATCCATATGTATATATATATATACGTATATATCTATGTATACATGTATAATATAATATATATATATATACATATATATATGTATAATATATATATATACATGTATAAATAATATATATCTATACACATATGTACAATATGTATATATATATATATATATGAAATATGCATATATATATAATATATATATATATATGTATGTATGTATGTATGTATGTATGTATGTATGTATGTATGTATGTATGTATGTATGTATGTATGTATGTATGTATGTATGTATGTATGTATGTATGTATGTATGTATATATATGTATATATATATATATGTATATACATATGTAACATATGTATATATATATATTATAACCTTCAGTCCGATACTCTCAACCTGAGGATCCTGAGGATCTAGACTCGGTCATACATGACTTTCGACCCTTCCTCCAAACGACATCAAACCATACACCCGACAACTACAGGGACATGCAAAATCGTGGACTTCCCCCGGATCTTCAGCGGTCTTATGCTCTCCTGGCATTGGAGTCAGCCTCTGGTTTCTGATCCCACATCGACAGAATGGAGCCAGCAACCTAAGTTCGCAGCTGGGAAGAGGTGCAAACATGAAGCCCTAGGTTCCAAGAGGTTGACTGGCGAGCCATTCTAGCCACAGATAATTCATTAATTTTTTGTATAATTCATTAAATGTTTGCGTCATGGATCCGAAGACTCCTTCAAAAAAATCGCTTCCTTCCAGACCGGTCAAGAAACACCAGAGATGAAGCCTATCGCAGCTTTCAAAGGGTTCTGCTCCTCTTCATCCTGTGCTCACAGAGATGGAAAGTGAGTTGCAGTCTTCAACTGAGAGAATATCCGTGCATTTCATGGATGCCCAAGTTCAGAGTCCTTGTCAGTGGCCCATCTTACCTGGCAGAGAAAGAAAGACACCTTGCCTGAATATTGCAATCGTAAGGCAACAGCAACCTGATCTGATGGCAGACACCATAGAATACAATCTTGGATCCGAAGAAAACCTTGCAAATACATGCGAATGCTGTGGCAGCGCAGCACATGAAAATCTTGAACGCTCCTTTTGCAGCTGTGGACTATCACGTCTGTCTGTATCTGTCCCAATTTCAAAGTTGTCTGGTTCACTATTTTTGAACCGTTGGAACACCAGTTGCCTCTTCAACTGCAGAGCCAATTAAAATATTCTACTGTAAAATACTGTAAATCTTTATCCTGGCTACACACATCCACATGTGACAGGTTCTTGAGAAGCGTATCGGCTCAAAGTCTGCTTCTGCGTTGGCCAAGCTTTCCAAACCTCAGCAAACTGAAAAAATCGCGAAGCAAGTCGATGCGCCTATTGCTCTCGTCAGAAGCTTCTTGCTGCCTCAGTTGTGAAGAGTCACAATGTTGCAAGATCTACTTGGGTAGAGCAAAAACTACAAAAAGGAACTTAGCTGTCATAAAACAGCTATAAATCCCATGAAATCCCATTTTTCCTAGTTAAATCTGGAAGTATGTCGACTATTGTCACTTGTTATTCACCAAGAGTTGCCACGACACCTGGGAGACTCCGTCCGCCTGACTTATATGGAGGAAAACCTAGGTGAAATCGTCTCAAACAACCATTTCTCCAAAAAAAAATGAGGAAGCCCCAAAATCCCAGGAGATCTACCGCTTGCACTCATTTCTGCTATTATTCGATGGCCATCAATAATTTTGTCTCTTCCAACAATAGTAAACCATGGGATTCATGAATTTTACCATCAGAATCCATCAGTGGGTACCCCAAAACCCACCACAATCCCATGAGTCTGGGACAATATATCCCCCATTTTTCCACGGCCAAGATGCCTCTGTTCCAATTCTTTCAATTGCTCTGCCATCTGCTTTGCCAGGCGCTGGACGGCCGCTGAACTTTGGCGGTGTTCAAGGTTGAGGCCTCGGAGGGATCTGTCCATAATGTCACAAACTTGGGATTCTCAAAGCCATGATCTCCTCGTTGAACAAGTCTCACAATCTATGGGACAAGACAATAATAGGATATATGGGGGGGTCAATTTCAGAAAACCGAAGCAAGTAGAACTGCCAAACGCAGAACAACACAAGCTCGGCCAAATCTGGGATCTGCGTACAATCTCCTGATAGCATGTATCCCCTTCTGCAGTGGTGTCTCTTTTTTTCGAGCCAAGTTGCTTTTCTTTACTCGCTGTTCAACCTTGTCCAAATCAATCTTGTACTCTCTCTCCTTGTTCTGAAGTTCATCTTCGATCTGGAGTTGTCTCTCTCGAAAACTCTTTTTCCATGCTCTATCCTTCAAGAAGCACAGTAACGCCAGGCAGAGCGAAGAAACTGTGGCGGTCATTGCAATGGCACCCAGCACTTGGGAGCGTTGCAGCTGACGCTCGTGTTTCTCCAGTCGCTCTTCCATGATTAACCTCTGCTTTTCCTCATCGTTGTCCACCACAAACTTCCAGTATCCCATGGCTCGCCCAAGGCGCTTCAATCGAAACTTCGAAACGCTGGTGGTCTGCTTCCACAACTCCAAGACTATCAAGCTACGTCGCTTCCTTTGATTTGCTCAAGGGGACCATAGAAAATAGAAATATTATGAAATATTACCAGTGGGTTCCCAAATGGTGGATTAACCAATAGGAAAATGACAAAATGATCAGGAAATCCAGGCTTCTGAAACTCATCAATAATCTTTTGATGCTCTTGTGACCTGGCACGGCTCAATGTCTTACAGCCCTCCTTCAAGAAGCGCAATTGACAGCCTTCTTCTTGGGCTTCGAGGCAGCCCACCTGGACTTGTGCCTTTAAGCGCTGCCCCAAGCGTGCTGCAGGTCCTTCTTCCTCGGGTTCCCAGGGTTCCACCGCATCCCAACTTTTCGACGAGCCGGAACCATCGCTCACCTCTTCCACCATGGTCCAGAAAAAGGAACGGAACCCACGTGGCGCAGTTGGTGTGAGCCGAGATGTCTTGGCATCAATGGATTTCTTCAAAAGGTAAGAAGATGACTTGGCAATGAGACGAAGCACAGCGGAAAATAAAATATCTGCTTGTGATCTCCTATCCTCCGGATGATCTCTGGATCAATCTAGATGCATTTCTTATCGATCTCTGTTCGCCTGGTTCTTGACAAATCACAGAGCGACTCAAAGTGTTTGCTTCCGCATTCCGCCTGTCGACTTCGCCGTCGCCGGTGTCTAGGGATCCTTACTGTCTCCAGGGCTGTGCTGACATGGAAGGAAACATCTGCTACCCAAGACTGTTGTCTCACCCTTCCTGCTGGATATCTTCTGATATCTTCTGATCTTTCCACCACATTTTAAGATGAAAGGAACCATAAGGAAACCATGGTGCCATTGAGGAAGCCTTCCTGCAGGTGTCCCATGGCATTACCAAGCCAGGATCAAGGATGGAGGAGGAGTTGAGTGTGTACTATGCTTGTCCAAAAGAACGCCGAGGGTCAAGGTCTCAATAGAGGAAAACTGTCAGGATCTTCCGCTTGATGTAAACTATGGAGCGATTCAGCTATGGCAACCAGCTATTGAAACATAATTTTGCCCACCTCAACACTTCGTCAGCAAGTGGCCTTCGGCCCCAATACACGGACGAGCCGGCGGCAAGAGCAACTGCCCGAAGTGGTGCTGCTCCTTGCATCGAAGTGAATAATATTTTGGGGGAAAGGAACAATGAGATTTTAGCAATAAAAATAGGATTAAAACCAATGATTATGATGTTCTATGGCGGATATAATGGGACATCTTGATTATCACCTATATGATTTGGGAGTGTCGGAGATTGGGTGAAGATAGGGTATCTACCCCCCAAATGGGGGTTTTAATGGGGAAAATGATGATAAAACGCTGGATTTAGGGGTACCATTAAGAATCAAACCTCCAAGACACTAAGCAGCACTTTTTTTTTGCAATTCTGCAAACATCGGCAAAAAGTTTTTTCAGAATGGAAAGCAATGGTGTATCACCTGGTCCCCTGCCTGCTTGCAAAGAAGGTCTTGAGGCCTCGCCATTGGCCTGCAGATTTAAGTGGATACAACCCGCCCTGTGCAATCTGTGGAACAAATCATGTTTGCAGACCTATGCGGAGCAGGTAAATCGATCCAAATCCTGTATGTGCATAAATATATATATGTATATATATATACATGTAAATATATATATATATGTATATATATGTATATATATATGTATATATATACATGTATATATATGTATATATACATGTATATATATATGTATATATTATATATATGTATATATATATATATGTATATATATATATGCATATATATGTATATATATATATGTATGTATGTATATATATATGGTATATAAATATGTATATATATATGGTATATAAATATGTATATATGTATATATATATGTATATATATATATGTATGTGTGTATGTATACAATACATCACATCCAATGTTGATGCTTGGTCCGCAAATGTGGGTTGCTGAGTTGGGGAACCATTGAGTTCCCAGCAAACCGCGACAACTCCCGACCTTCTCTGCCTGCGTCCACTGAACCCGCTGCGCTGCGAGTTTCACAGGTGGTCCCTGCCATCGGCGTGGTCAATTGGCAATGGGTCAAAACCATGGTACCATGGTAAATGGATGTCAATGGATGTTCATTCTCCATACATATGTATCTGTAAAAATAATTCTACATATACATACACATATATATAGATATATATATATAAATATACATATTTACGTATGTGTATATATATATACGTATGTATATATATATATACGTATGTATAAATATATATGTATATACGTATGAATAAATATATATATATATGTGTATATATATATCTATATAAATATATTTACAGATATATCCAAATATTTACAGACATATATATATATATGCATACATACATACATACACGCATACATACAAACATGCATACATACATTCATTCATTCATTCACTCCATTACATTACATTACATTACATGACATTACATGACATTACATTACATTAGGTTACATTACACTACATACATTATATACATTACACGCATTACATAAACTACATAGATTACACACATACATGCATTACATACGTTCATTACATACAAACATACATACATACATAAGTACCTACATACATACGTACATGCATACTTGCATTACATTATATTACATTGCATTACTTTACATTGCATTATTACACTACATCACATAACATACATTACATACATAACATACACTACATACAATTACATACAATTACATACATTACATACAGTACACATATTACATACATACAAACACTACATACATTACAAACATTACAAACATTACTTACATTAATTACATACATACATACATAACATAACATAACATAACATAACATAACATAACATACATTACATTACATTACATTACATAGCATAACATAACATTACATTACATTACATTACATACATACATACATGAATTACATGAATTACATGAATTACATGAATGATATTAATTACATTAATTACATTAATTACATTAATTACATTAAATACATACATACACACACATACGTACAATACATACATACATACATACATTACAATACATTACAATACATTACAATACATTACAATACATTACAATACATTACAATACATTACAATACATTACAATACATTACAATACATTACAATACATTACAATACATTACAATACATTACAATACATTACAATACATTACAAGACATTACAAGACATTACAAGACATTACATTACATACTTACATACATTACATACATTACATTACATACACACATCCGTGCATGC